AAAATAAAATAAATAAATAAATAAAATAAAAAAAAAATAAATAAAAATATACGAAAAAAATTATGATAAAAAAAAAATATATATAGATAAAAAAAAAAAATTGTATATTATGCTCATATATGTTGTTAATACTATATAATTGTATATTAGTTTTGGAAAATTGTCTGTAGCGATTAATAAGTATGCTGTGTTTAAAGCAACCCAATGTAATTGGGCAGCACCCTTTTATGATAATAAAGTGATTCTCTCTAGGGGACAGTAGTCCCAGAATAAAATTATTTTTTCATTTCATTTCATATCATAGGAAATACGAATTCCACTCTATTTAATAATCATTTGATCCTAGTTAATACCCATTAAATGAAAAAAAATTATATATTAATTTTTATTGAATAATTCAATTGATTTGATTCAAGATTATTGCTGAAAGTAACCATACTATGTTACACATGCAGAATAATTTTAACATATTAAAACTTCTATTTGTTGAATAATAAGCCATCATTTATAATGAGGTAAGCATTTAATTTAAAGAGTGAAAAAGATATATATATATATATATATATATATATATATATATATATATATATATATATATATATATATATATATATATATATCTTTTTCACTCTTTAAATTAAATGCTTACCTCATTATAAATGATGACTGAAAATATATATATATATAAAGTGATTGAATTTAAAGAATTACTTAAAATACAGGTTACAAAATTGGCTAGGTAGTGCAGTTACAGTATGCTGCTAGATGCTAGCAATTGATTGCGATTTAATTAGATGTTTTTCACAATATCTTTGAACTTACGAAAATTGAACTATGTAAATAAATAAATTAAACTGCAGAGCAATGGCAGAAACTAATGAATTCAGTTTTTACAATTAATGTAAAATTTTAACAATAAATTCCTCGCGCGGGCTAATTATCGCGTATGGGAAGCGTCCCACGGGTGGCGGATGTGGAGATGGTCGGTGGAAATTCCTTGGAAGTTCCTCCCGGCTAAGTCCGATGGACTCGCTAACCAACAATGAAAGGGGCCTTCCAGACTTGCTGGAGGGAGGGGATCTCCAGACTTGCTGGAGGTAGGGACCCACCAGACTTGCTGGAGCGTGTGACGTAGGATTGAACGCCTTCTTAAGTTAAGTTAATTGAAACCCTAAGGTAAAACGCTCATTATTCGGAAGTAAACTAGTCCCCCGTTCGGGTCTCCGGGTGGGGACTGCTTTAGGGGATTCATGGCGCAAGTTGAAATATAGGGATTTAAATATTGGTACGTGGAACGTAAGGAGTTTAAACACAGCAGGGGGGCTAAAATCGGTCGCGAATGAGGTGAATGGGTACAATTTGGATGTCGTGGCTCTGCAAGAGGTTCGCTGGCCAGGGGAGGGCTCGATGAGGGAAGGAAAGTACACTATTTGGTACGGAGGAAGCGGGAATCACTGTTTGGGTACCGGGTTTCTAATTAGGAGTAGATTACTATCCGCTTTGAGGGCCGTACAATTCTTTAGTGATAGAATTTCGGTAGCCACATTTCAGGGACGTTGGTTTAAAATCGCATTAATAAACATACATTGTCCGACCGAAGACAGTGACGATGAAGTCAAAAGTGAATTTTACGATAAACTCGAATGGGTTTATGATAAACTACCGCGAAACTACATGAAAATAATTATAGGTGACGCGAACGCAAAGGTAGGAAGGGAAGGATTTTATATTCCGACGATTGGTAAAGAAAGTTTGCACGAATATAGTAATGATAATGGGATCCGTCTGATAAACTTTGCCATCTCGAAAAACCTGATAATTAAAAGTACGACGTTTAAACATAAGGATATTCATAAATATACTTGGACATCACCGGATTCGCAAAAAAGAAATCAAATCTTGATTGAGATCATGTCTTGATACAACATAGCTGGCAAAGCAGTATAATTAATGTACGGTCTTATCGCGGAGCAGAATGTGGGTCGGGTCATGAATTAGTAATCGCGAAACTTCGACAAAAACTTGATATAAAAAAGAGAAAAAAAAAACCGTTTTGATTTTGAGAATTTTGATTTGGACAAATTAAAAAACCCATCAATTAGAACCCAATTCGAGCTAGATGTTAAGAATAGGTTTGAAGCTTTAGAGCTTCCTGACGAGGACCACGAGGATATTGACAAGTTATGGGTAGAGATCAGGGTTAATATTAAAGCGGTCGGTAACTCGTGTCTAGGAAAAAAGGAAAATAAGAATAACAAACCGTGGTTTGACGAAGATTGCTTAAACATGTGCGAAAAACGAAAAGCCGCTAAATTAAAAGCTCTAAATAATCCTAGCGAAGACAATCTGGAATACTTCCAAACCTCAAAGAACGAAACGACAAAATTGCTCAAAAATAAAAAAAGGGAGTATCTTAAAAATAAAATAATTGAAATAGAAACTAATAGAATCGAAAATAACGTAAGAGACATGTACAAAGGTATAAAAAGATCACGTAAATATGTAGGGCCCGTAACGTCTGGAATTAGGGATGATAATAACAATATTCTGACCGATCCGGTTGACATATTGAATAAATTTAAGGACCACTTTGACAATATTTTAAATACGGGAAATTATGATCTGTGTCCTCCTTCTGAGTACCAGAGTGCTGAACCGTTGATAGAAGAACTGAGTAAAGAGGAAGTTGAAGTAGCTATCGGAAAATTAAAATCATATAAAGCAGCGGGAATCGATAATATTCCTACTGAACTAATTAAGGCATGCGGAGAAGCTGGAGTTTCTAAAATACATCGGTTGGTTAAAAAGATCTGGGTGAACGAGAAATTACCTGAAGAATGGAAAGAATCTATTCTTATTCCGATTCACAAAAAGGGTCCGAGGACGGATTGTAATAACTATCGAGGAATTTCACTCCTTCCGGTATGTTATAAAATATTCACTTTAATCTTAACCAGTCGAATCACGGAATACGCCGAGGAAATTATCGGAGACTACCAATGCGGATTTAGACGGAATCGTTCGACTATTGATCAAATATTTTCTTTACGGCAAATATTAGAGAAAAAATTGGAGTATAACGGTATTGTTCACCAGCTGTATATAGATTTTAAAAAGGCTTACGATTCTATTGACCGCCAGAAACTGTATAATATTCTAATCGAGCAGGGGATTCCTAAAAAATTAGTAAATCTAGTCAGGATGTGCTTGACGGAGAAACTTAATAAAGTTAGAATCGGTAATAATCTGTCCGAAAAATTTGAGGTTCGTTCGGGTTTAAAACAGGGGGATTCCCTTTCGCCTGTACTGTTCAATTTGGCATTAGAACATGCCATTAGGGAGGTAATGCGTACCGAGAAAGGGTTGGATCTGGGTGGGACAACATCCGTGCTGGGCTATGCTGATGATCTGGTACTGTTAAGCGAAGACCTTGAAACTATAAAACTAAATATGACAACGTTAATGAAAGCCGGTAAAGAACTAGGACTCGAAATAAACGTGGATAAAACAAAATATATGGTTAGCTGCAAAAATGGCGATACTGCTGGTGATATCGATATAGATGGTAATATGTTTGAGCAGGTAGATAAGTTTAGGTATTTAGGTTCTACGATAACTAGAAAAAACGAAATTGAAGAAGAAATTAAGGTTAAGGCGGGAAATGCTTGTTATTTTTCTGTGACAAAACTACTTAGTTCGCGCCTTTTGCCCCGAAACTTAAAAATTAGAATCTATAAAACAATTATCTTGCCTACAGTTCTTTATGGGTGCGAAACTTGGCCGCTTACATTAAGAGATGAGCAGCGTCTTAAGGTTTTTGAAAATAAATTATTACGTAGAATATTCGGACCGAAGAAGGATGAGTTAACCGGAGAGCTCAGACGGTTACACAACGCCGAATTGCGTGAACTGTATCCGAGTAATATAATTGAGATAATTTCATTGCGGCGAATCAAATGGGCTAGTAAAGTTGTTGGACTTAGTAACGAGAGCATTCCTAAAAGGTTAATATTTGCTGTGCCGAATGGTAAGCGTCCGAGGGGTAGACCGACGCGTAGGTGAGAAGATTGCATTAAAGCTGATCTGAAGGGACTGGGTTTGGACGGCGAACAGTGGAGGGAGGTGTGTAATAAGCGATTGGTGGTGTCGGCATCGAACCTTCGGGTTCGCTAAGCCTTTTATTATTATTATTATTATTTAACAATAAATTACAATAAATGGTCACCTTAATTTGATCATTATATTCTTAATTTTGATTGAATAAGATTGCTTTTTCGAGAAAGGTGGGCTATAAAGGATTGTATAAGATAAAACATAACTTTTAGCAAAACAAAAAACTATTGAATTTAAATTGTATTAATGGGAAACAAAATCACCATTACAGGTCACCACAATGGTGATGCAAAATTTGAAACTGAAAGGAAAAGAAAATCACTGAAGGGTCACTAAAATGTTGAGTGCAGTAGGCCTTCCTTTATCCCGTAGTAGGGAGGAAATAAACCTAATGCTAAATTAGATCAGTAGGGGTTTTCAAGTAATGTCAAACTAAGGCAAAGAAATATTTAATTAAGAAAAAAGTATGAAATATAAAATAAAATATTACATCTGCTATGGTTAAGTAGTTGATTGGGGTCCCTAATCATTAACATTTGTTGTTAATGGGTTAATTATTAATTATAGGGATTACTTGAAGTTTGCTGATTGGTGAAGGTGGTTTTGTGAATTTTGCTGCATACTTCATCCTGTTGATATTTCTTGCCGCTTCATTCTCATGAATCTCTTCCGTCGCCTGCCAACATGTGCCTTCCGTGCCTGTCTCTCCCTAGGCACTTCTCCTGTAGGGGGTGTCTATCTACTCATTTCTCCATGTATATGAGAAATATAGAACCTGCAGATCAGAGCTTGCACTTTGGAATATAACCTGCAGATCAGGGCTTGCACTTTGGAATATAACCTGCAGATCAGGGCTTTGGACTCACAGATAAGAGATTCACCAGAAGCTACCAGCATTTTTTTTGGTTCCACCTTCCACCAATAGATGGAATCGTGACCAGAATCGCACAAGTCCGCCGCCGGGCCACCCGGGCGAGGTCGGGGACATGGTGGCTCAACTCCCGGCCGACGACAAGTTGCGTGAAAGGGGTACCCAGGGTAGCGGTGCGTGCGCACCCCCCCCTCGGGAAATGGCACAAGTCCGCCGCCGGGCAACCAGGGCGAGGCCGGGGACATGAGGGCTCAACTCCCGGCCGACGACAAGTTGCGTGAAAGGGGTACCCAGGGCAGCGGTGCGTGCGCACCCCCCCTCGGGAAATGGCACAAGTCCGCCGCCGGGCCACCCGGGCGAGGCCGGGGACATGGGGCTCAACTCCCGGCCGACGACAAGTTGCGTGAAAGGGGTACCCAGGGTAGCGGTGCGTGCGCACCCCCCCTCGGGAAATGGCACAAGTCCGCCGCCGGGCCACCCGGGCGAGGCCGGGGACACGGGGGCCCGACTCCCGGCCAACAGTTAGACGCATGGGAGGGGTCCCGGGGTAGCGGTGCGTGCGCACCCCCCCTCGTCCGCATGGGAGGAGTCCCGGGGTAGCGGTGCGTGCGCACCCCCTCCCCCTCGTTGATATCGCACGAGGCCGGGGACATGAGGGCTCAACCCCTTGCCAACAGTTAGCCGCTTGAGGTGGGCTCATTTTATTTTTGTTCTATACCGATCATTATGAAAATCATTGGCTGTTAGTGCTAGGATTGGTCGTATGTAAAGATTGGTTGTTTTACAAGAGAGCTTATCAAAATTAATTATTCCCTTATGCTTTCTTATTATAATTTCATATTTTATTATCCTCTTCTATTTCTCGTAGGGAGCAGGCTACTTGTATCAGTGTCGGAGAGAACAAAATGTCGCCTTTATCAAAAATATTATATGACCTGAAAATTTCTACATACGGCATTTTGCACTCGTGGTAGTGATATATGCTCAATATGTATGTTTTCACACTCGTAAAATTGATCGAACTAGAAAATGCAGGAGAAAAATTAAACTTGTCGTTTGTTCAGAGCTAACGAGAGGAATACACCATCCCCGAGTCAAAAGGATGTATTATAAAAATATGAGTGAAGCTGACACAACTGATATATTTAAGGAGGACATCGAGGCCAAGAAAAACTTTCTGAAGTTCAATGGAAGTAAACACGGTCACAAATAAGACGCTTTCTTTCTTTCCTTTCTTTTTTAATAATTCGTAAAACGACAGTGGAGAGTCAATTATTTATTTTTTTTTTCAACATCTCCCAGGAATACAATGCTTCGATACCTTCGGTATCGCTGAAATAATAACCTAAAAATAAATGAATAAAAAGAAACACATACATACCTATATACAATATTTACAATCTGGACCAGACTTGCCCCTCCAACTGTGGAGGAAAAAGCATGACTCCAGGAGATCCATACACTTCTCTCTCAACCGCGTCACTGGGGCTAAACCCAGTGGAGATTGAGCAAGAGTGCTTAAGCCACATACACTCATGTCGTGAGTGGAGAATCTGGCCATTGCCAGAACTCCAATATTTACAAACTATAAAAGGTCGCGGGGCCACTGCCGTTTGAACCTCCTTGGAGGATTATATGGATGGGTGGTGATGGATAGAGATTGTGCAAAGGGAATTGGAATTAAGGTTCTGGTGGAATTGGGAGAATTTTGCTGGGATAAGGTCTAGGACAAATAGGATATTAAGGTCATGGTGTAGGGTTTTGTTGGTTACATAGAAAGGAGCATTGGCTATTGTTCGTAGGACTTTGGATTGGAAGGATTGGATGCGTTTGATGTTAGAAAATTTCGCTGTTCCCCATAGGTCAAGTCCGAAAGTCCAGATAGGTTTCAGTATTGTCTTGTAAATAAGTAACTTGTTTTCAATGGAAAGTTTAGATTTTCTGTTTACAAGTCGGTATAGTTGGCCGTATCGTCGGTTTAATTCCTGTCTTTTAAGTCTAGTATGAGGGTTCCACATTAGTCATCTGTCTAAGAGAAAGCCAAGGTACTGGACTGTGTCTGAGAAAGGAAGCTGGATGGAATTAAAGTGTACTGGTGGACAGGAACTGCGTCGGAGCGTGAAGGTGATGTGTTGGCATTTGGATTCGTTTACTTTAATACGCCATTTACTACACCAGTGCTCAATCAGGGAGAGGTGTTTTTGAAGGTTTAAGGATGCTATATCAGGATCTGAGTCTAGAATAGCGGTGTCATCAGCAAAAGTTGCCAGGAAGGTATCGGGATGAACAGCGATATCGGCGGTAAAGGGGATGTAAAGGACGGGACCCAATATGCTACCTTGAGGAACACCTGCCTCAATTGGATAGTAATGCGAAAATTTAGTACCACAACGAACTCGGAAGGTACGATCTGAGAGGTAGGAACGGAGAACAAGGTATAAGGACTGAAGAAGATGGGTTTTCAGCTTGGAAAGAAGCCCGGCGTGCCATACACGGTCGAAAGCTTGAGCTATGTCCAGAAATGCACCCGAGCAATATTGCTTGCTATCCTATGCTGCGGAAATATGATCGACCACTCGGAGTCCTTGTTGGACTGTAGAGTGTTGTGAACGAAATCCGAACTGATGGTAAGGAAGATTTTGGGATTCTATAAAGGATGTGTTTCAGGAGGATCTTTTCACAGATTTTTGAGAGAATCGGAAGTAGGCTAATTGGTCTGTAGGACGTTGAGGTGTTGGGAGGTTTGCCTGGTTTCGGAAACAGGATAATAGTGGAATGATTCCACAAAAGAGGAAAGTGGGTGGTTCGTAGGATGCTATTGTCTATGTATGTAAGGAATATGACAGCTTTAGGAGGGAGTAGTCTAACGATCTGAGAGGTAAGGAGGTCGTATCAAGGTGATTTGCGAGTAGGTAGTTTTTGTTAGTGGAATTTGACTTCAGAAGGATTAACTGCTTAAGGCGGTAAGGAGAGTGGGATGGGTGAATTAAGGAATTCCTCTATTGCTGACGTGTGGGTGGGATTGGATTCTGGATGAGAGGTGAATGCAAGGGAAAGGTGTTCGGCGAATTCCTCGGCTCTATCTTCGTCCGACGCTGCCCAAGAGCCATCACCTCGACTGAGAGGATGTGATATATGATGGGGTTTTAGGATATGTTTAGTGATCTTCCATAGGGAATTGTCATAAGAAGAGAGGGAAGTAAGGTAGGAGTTGAAGGATTGGGATCTGAAGGTGGCCAATTCTATCTTTAATTTTTTGCAAAAATAATTATAGGATTGACGATCGGTGGGGTGTCTAGTACGTTAACATAATAATCTGGCACGGCGTTTGGTATGGATTAGGTTTATGAGATGTTGAGGTAACTTATTTTTCTTGAGGGGTTCTTGAGGAGTGGTTGGGAGAGGAAGCAGTCCAGATTGCTTGTTGGATAGTGGTGGTAAAAAAGTGTACGGCATTGTCAAGGTCATCTGGAGTTTTCAGGGTTATTCTGAGGTCAATTTTATCGGAAAGGATTTGGTGAAAGAGTTTCCAGTTAACTGGGCCTCTGATGAAGGACGGTGGAGAAGACTTAGGAATAGGAGCTAGAGATAATTGGAGTAATAATGGACTATGATCTGAGGATAGTTCGGCAAGACGGGTAAGGGAATGATTGAGGGGACCTAAGCCACTGTGGATGAAAAAATCAAGGATATCGGGATTGCGGTTAGGATCTGTGGGCCAGTAGGTAGGTGAGTTAGGAGAAAAGATACTGAAACGTTGCGAATTGATTGCAGATAACAATGTTCTGCCACAAGAGTTCGTGGTTCTAGAACCCCATTGATGGTGTTTGGCGTTTAATCTCCACCCAGGAAGAAATGATGTCCTAAGGAGTTGAGAAGAGAACTGAACTGGATATTGGATATGGATCTGTTAGGAGAGCAATATGCTGATGCTATGGTGACGGGAAAGGAGGTTTTGATTACGATAGCGGTGGATTGTAGGAAATCTTGTGTCGGTAATGGGAGCTGGTGATGAGAAAGGGAGTGGTGTACAATAACAGCAGTACCGGCATGTGCTTTACCGTCAGGATGGTCAGTACTATATGTTATGTATTGAGGTATTTTTAAATGCTGACTTCTGGTCAGTCGTGTTTCCGTAATTAATGCTACGTCGATGTTCTTGTCCAGTAATAAAGCTGTTAGTTCGTCAACGTGATTTCTAACACCATTCGCATTCCAAAAGAGAATGGATATGGATTTTGGGATGTGTGTCATTAAGGATTTTTAAAGGAGGGATGAGGTGAGATACGAGATTTATGAGGAGTGATATGAGTGGAGTAACTAAGGATTTAAAATCGGTAAGGAATGATGCCAGCAAACTGGTGAGATCTGTTGCATTTGATGAATTCGTTGTTGATGGTAAGGTTTATTTGGATGAATAGGATTTTGAAGTTGGGGTTGAGGTTGTTGTTGCAGAAGGGCTTGACAGTTATCGGTTGAGCTCTTACCTCTAAGTAGCTGGGAAAATGATACACTATTATTTACTATTCTAGAAGGCTCTCTCTCTCTCTCTTCTTGGTCTTCCTCCTTATCTTGAATCCGGTTTTTCTGGTGTCTGGATTTGAGATTCTTGTAAATTTGGCATCCTTTGTAGTTGGCCGGGTGTCCCTCCAGGTATAGTGCACACACTGCAGGATCTTGTATCGGTTTTGTGCATTCCACTGATTTGTGCTGTTCACCGAATTTCACCCAACGCGGCAGATGGTGACAATAAGTCTTCGTGTGGTCATACGCCTGACAATTATGGCACTGCACGATTTCTCTCTTGTGGTATGGTTTCTCTACTTTCACCATAGTGTAATATAATCTTGTGATATCGTATATTTTCCCAATACCTGGTGATGGCTCCAGATCCACGAAAAATAAAGGTAGTGAAACTTTATTTTTTACTCTAGGCTGCTCTTTATTCTCCTTCAGAACGTTGGTTACCTGACGTACTTTGAAACCAAGCGCCGCTAGTTCTTCTTTTATCACTCGTAACGATCTCTCCTGCCAAAGCTGGTACGTATGAAAATTCGCATTCGTTTCTGAGAGGTACTTCACTATTATTCGGTAGGTTTTAGCAGTATCTGGTGTTATTTTTGTATCGTTGGTCCTGTTAAGACATGAATAACTGCCAGAACATATTTTATTTAGTTGGTTGCAGAACAACTGGAAATTTTTGATATTTTTCACAAATATCGGAGGTGGCCTTGGTTCTGTGGGTATTGCTGCAGACTCCATTACCTCTCGGTGATTTTGAAGCATTTGGTAGGGGCTTGGAATAAAGAAAGGGGATTCTTCGATCATTTCTTGCGAAGAAGTTCCTGGTTGTGGCTGAGGTTCTGGTTCTGAAGTGTTCACTTTTGTTGTTGGAGATGTTTCTCGTAGATAGCGACGAGTCCTTTGCTTGGCTGGTGAGCTAACTCCGTCTGACCGAGTCCTCTTGGGCACCTTACTGGGCATCACTTGGTGAGTATACCGCATACCATAGGAGAAGAAAGAAATAAAGAA